GGGAGGACGGAAACGCAAGAAAAAAAAAATAAAAAAAGGATTGAACACAAACACCGAAACAGTCACTCCCCAGCATGCTGGGTGCCTAAAGTTTTTAGGTTGTGCTGGTTGTAGCCAGCGGAGCAGCAGCACAGGCAGTGCCGCCAGGTGAGGCGCGGCTGAGGGCCGTGCGGCTGCGCGGGGCTGGTCAGAACGCGGCCTGCCGTCTGCTGGAGCACCTTGCAGCCGATGTGGTAACCTCTTCGCAAGATAAATTCACCTTGATTCTTCCTTGAAAATCTGTCTTGAGTGTACGTTTTGTCAAAGCCAAAATGGGGTATGGAAATAAATAATTTAGATAATAACATCGTTTAGGTTGTTAGCGTCAGGGATTTGATTTTAAAATGCATTGTTTTATTAAAACTAAACCAATATTCTTGTGTTAACTCTGTTTAAGGCATCCATTTCCCTTGCTCCTGTGAACATTTTCAAGGCAGGTGCAGATGAAGAAAAGGCAGAAACAGCTCGGTTGGTAAGTTTACTTCTCTAAGAAACTGGTAATACTTGGGGTAATTAAACTGTGTCTCTTCTGCTGTTGAATGTACTTTCAGTTCATGGTGATGTAAAACTTACCTGTCGTCTTGGTTTTTTTTCTTGTTGTGTGTCTGTGAACAGAAGGCAGGAGGAGTTTTGTTTATGCTAACAACTAGAGAAACTCCGCCTAAGTGTTCCAAAACTGAGTACCTTAGCTCAGAAGATTGATGTTCATTGGGAGGCAGTTCTTTTGGCTGCAAGATGGGCTTTTATGGTTTCTGTGAGAATTAAGTAAACTTGATCTGGTTATCAAAATGTAGCAGTTAAGAAACTTGGACCCAGACTCTGCTGAAAGGAGTTGTGGCTGTTGAATGGTTGAGTTAAGATGTCCCCTGGGAAGTTATGAGCTAGCATCTGCTGCTTGTATGAAAGTGGAAATAAATATTTTTCTAAGGTATGTTTGCTTCCATTTCAGTCATCCTTTGTTGGTGCCATTGCTGTTGGTGACCTGGTCAAGAGCACTCTGGGGCCTAAAGGCATGGTAAGACAGCTGCAAGTTCTCAGTGGTCATACATGTTAATTTAGCTTTAACGGCAACAGGTTGTTTTCAAGCAGTATTCTAAATATGGTACCTCGTAGGACAAGATTCTTTTAAGTACTGGAAGAGACAGCACGGTAACAGTTACCAACGATGGTGCAACCATCCTGAAAGCTATTGGAGTTGACAACCCAGCTGCCAAGGTCTTGGTTGGTGAGTTTTTAACAGCTTGTCATTGGAGTAATTGGCATTTCTTCATTTGTAACTTTATTATGTAGTTTTCCTCTGTGCTTGGAAAAGTAGTCTTCAAATAATGTGAAAAATTGAAGGGAGGGGGAGCAGAATTCCTGAAGTAAAGAGGCCAAGGTTTTGCAGGAGTTGTGGAGCTCTGCTTGAGTAAAATTGAGGTATATGCTGCTCTTGCAAAACTGTTACGGTGTCTCCTTGTTTTCCCTCAACCCTGGTTTGTCCCAGGAGTCAGAAGGGACAAAGGACAGCTGTGTGCCCCTCTTCTTTTCACCGGGAAAATTCAGGACAGAAATCTGCTGGGGTACAGAGGTTCTCTCTGGTTCTCCCTGATCGAAATCTCTTTTTATCACTTAATCGGCATTGTACTCTGGACAGAGTTTACCTGTGTGGTACGCTGTCTTAGTGTGCAAATGGTCCAGTTCTAGTGACAAACTGGACCCTGAGCATTTTGGTGTCAAGCAGCTCGATGATTTCGTGTTCGCTGGGTCCTTGTTTATCAACAGTTCATGGGGCATACTGGATTATTACATCCTGTGATCCTGTGTGTATAGCTTAGAGCGTCTGTCCAGCCCTACTTCCTTTTGATGACCATCTTTAGGAATGGAGAGAGAGAGAGAGGAGTAGCATTTGATCATCGCCAGACTGGAACGAGTGTCTAGGTTGCAAGTGAAGCGAGGGAATTTGAAGGATGCTGAATTTCATGTGTCTCGGGTTTTTCTGTGACTTAGAGTGACCTCTTTAAAATATTGAGGAGTAAGATTCTTTTTTCTTTTCCAGACTAATGTGAGATAAAAGTATTTGTGTGTAAAGCTGGTATGGGTGAGTGTGGTATTTTGAATCAAAACATTAATGCAGCGGCTTGTTTCTTCAGATATGTCGAAGGTTCAGGATGATGAAGTCGGTGATGGAACTACATCTGTCACAGTGTTGGCAGCTGAATTACTGAGGGTGATGTATTACAATTTTTCACATGTGTTCCTGTTTGGCAGTGTACTCCTGTGATATCAACAGGAGATGTGTTATTTATGTTTATGTTTATGAAGAGGGCTTCCAAAGTATAGGAATACCTTGCTCTGTTGCTGTTGAAACTGATAGGAAAAAAACCCCTTAAGTATTGCGTCATAGCTTTTTTTTTTAAGACTAGATTCCTTATTGTTTATAAGCCCACAAGTATTCTAATTTGGTACATTTTAGAAGATCATTTTCTCTTATTTCATTACACAAGTTAGACAGAGAGGTGTCACTCTCGGGGGTCATATCCTAGATGTTGCACTGGGCAGCATGCAGCACTGCTTAGTTGTGAGATTCAGTCCTCTGAAATCCTGTTTCATAACATGAATGAGGAAAAAAGAAAAGGCATGTTAAATTCTGTTCTTGTGTGCGCAAGACTTGAATTCATACTGTTCCTTTAAACTTTGCATACAGAGGTTACACTGCCAAACTCTGAATCTGAAATTGCTATGAAAGAGACTTCAGAAGCGAGGAACTCTTGTTTAGCAGAGCTGTGACAGTAAATGTAATCATCTCGGATCCAGAATCTGTGATCAAGAGCATCTGAGAAATGATCCATCAGCTTACCAGGTTCCTCACAAAAAGGGATTTTGAAGATACTTTTTTTTCCAATTACACTTCAAGTTGCAGCTAGAAGTGAACAGGAAACTGATCTCAAACATGAAGTGAAAGATTGCTATTTTGAATTGTGTATCTGGTTGCTATTCCTATTGGAGTTAGGATTTTTATTTTTTTAATTAATCAAAATTTCTTGATGATATTCCAAGGGCAGATGATATTTGCCTAGATTGGAAAAACAAAAGACCTGCCAGTAAGGTGACTTCAATTTCATTATTATAGCTCTCTGGTTTTTACTGCCATTCGGAATTTTCCAGTTACTTGGAATTGTTTTTCTTAGTTAGTGTAAATGTACCTGGGGGGAGAAAACTGATTATTAATTCCATTTAAATAGGAGGCAGAATTACTGATTGCGAGGAAGATTCATCCTCAGACCATCATTGCAGGCTGGAGAGCAGCTACGAAAGCTTCAAGAGAGGCACTTTTGAAAGCAGCTGTGGATCATGGGTTAGTAATGTGCATTTGCTGTAACTCTTTATAAAAAATCAGTCAAGATTAAAACACCAGTGAGAATTATACACCATTGGGAAATTCTTCACTCTTTTAGGTAGTGTAAAGGCTGAATTTACGAATTTGAACAGTTGAGACAAAAAGACTGCGTTTTCTTCAGATGAACTACAGAAGCTTTGTGAAATTATTTAAAATTACTTAGGATGTGCAGAAATAAAATACAAGCAATAATTTGTTCCCTAGAACGAAAATGCGAGCTGTTATTTCAGATTTAATACCTTAATTTTGTGTGTGACTTTTCTTTACCGGACACTTTGAGAGCATGGACTTTGTAAAGCTGAATGCAAAAGTTCTCCTAATTGAACTTTTTTCAGATAGAAGGTTGTATTCCGGGAGGCTGGAGGCATTCTGTGTAGCGTTCCTCGGAGTAGAACATGGTACACATAGGCACAGGCTAGAAGAAGTGGGGAGAGACTCATAGTGATAGGTTAATGACAGTTAAGGGTTTCAGACCGTCCACTGAAACTATACTGACTTTATTTTAGTGATGATGAAGTGAAATTCCGTGAAGACTTGGTGAACATTGCGGGCACGACTCTTTCATCAAAATTACTTACTCATCATAAAGATCACTTTGTCAAACTAGCTGTGGAAGCTGTTCTTAGATTGAAGGGTTCTGGTAATTTGGAAGCTATCCACATCATTAAGAAACTCGGTGGAAGTCTGACTGATTCCTACTTAGATGAAGGTAAGTCTTTGTATATTGTCTGCAAGTACGCTTGAGAAATGAAGCTGTAACAAGTTATATGTCTATACAGATTTGTTCTAGGAGACACTGCTATGTTATTAAATTGAATAATAAATTTGAGGGGGTTTTGTAATAATGCAAACGAATTATTCTCCTTTTTGAATATGAAGTTTTACAAGACCTTTCTGTTACTACAGGCTTTTTACTTGACAAGAAGATTGGTGTAAATCAGCCAAAAAGAATTGAAAATGCAAAGATTCTTATTGCAAATACTGGTATGGATACAGACAAGATTAAGGTTTGTGACATAACTACTGTTGTGAAACGATGTTTTTGTAAATGGAGTTCCTTTTTAGACTGAACTCTTTGTTTTCTTTGGTTTAGATCTTTGGCTCTCGTGTTAGAGTGGACTCTACAGCAAAGGTAGCAGAAATAGAACAGGCAGAAAAAGAAAAAATGAAGGAGAAGGTAGAGCGTATTCTTAAGCATGGAATAAACTGCTTTATTAACAGGTATGTGTTTTCTGGGAAAAGGGGTGGAGTTTATAATGCAGTTAGATTTTAATATAGTATGAGCGTGAAGAATATTATTTATGTTCATATCTGTAAAATTAGATGATCCTACATAAAGCTTAATTTATTCACTTCGAGGCCAGTGTTTTTTCTGTGCTTCCCATTGTTCCCTGTTTTTTTTTTTTTTTTTATTTTAAAGAGGAAGAAGTGATGTTACTAATCCAGGATCCACGTTTCAGTCCAGCTGAAGCAATGTCACCATGCTTTTATACTGACAGATTTATTTAGTTATGAATGCTAGCACCATTGTCCATATCCATATTCCCCTTTTTTTGGGAAAATGGTCCTGAAAGCATCTGTGCTGCTGGATGCATTTAGTTCAGATTGAACCAGCTATGCTTTTTCCTGCATTAAGATGCTGGTGCTGGAGTAGTGCTCCAAATCCAAGAGTGTTTGAGAGGCCTCTGGGCTCCCTGTCAAGAGCCTTTTACATGCACCTTTGAAAGTATGAAGCTAACCATTTTCATCTAAGAGATGTCACAATCCGAGTTACTTATTTTTGTTAGCAGTGCACTTCTCTCTTAAACTGTCACAGTGCAAAAAAGCATTCGTTTTTTTAATGATGAAAAATGCTTCTGCCTGTCAGAAATTTTCATTTGAGTGAAGCTGCCACATGAGCAGCTGTACGAGCAGCTTGACAGCTGGTGGTTTGGTGCATCATGTAGTGCACTAGGAAGCTGACCTTCTAGTACTACACCAAAGGCTAGGAGTTGTAAGAGTAGCACTGTTTTCTGCAATAGCAAAGATTTGCTCGTTCGGAACATAGTGCATCTTATAAGTCACCTGCAAAATTTCATTTAAACATCTGTAAGAACCACTGACAGCCTGATGACTCCAATAGTCCCTCCATCTGTGTTGTGTTTCACATACGTGGTGTTCTAGTCTAGGCAAAGGGAGTGCTCTGTCTGGTGGTGTGTCTGGTGGTGGTGGTACAGATACAGAGTCCTAGAGTCAAGAGTCCTGTTGGCAAATGGATGGAAGGGTCCTTTGAAGTATGCAAAGAAAACCTCTATCGCTGCCACCTGATATGCTTGTAACGCAGGTAGTTGCCCTAAGGAAGCTCGGGTAGCAGTCAGGCGCTGTAGCCAGAGTAGTGGCATTCCAGTTAGATTGATTCTTGACTTTCAGATTCATTCCTTGATAAAATGGATTTGTGCCTATAGGCATACTGTAGATCCACTTCGCATCTGATATGGTCAGTGTTAGGCTGGTTAAACACCGCTGAGGAGATGCTTGACAGGGTCAAGGCTATATGGATGCAGAGTTGGAAGAATCTACTCTGTGCATACCCAGCAGCGCCAGTTGTCTCTTTTGAAGATAGATCAGAAGCATTTTTTTTGACAGAGATGGCATCTCCCAGCTCGTGCTGAATTCTCTGCAACACCCAATCTCTAATTTGGAAGGGAAAAATCTAGCATAGCACTTCTGGATGCCAGCTTTACATGACTGCTTGGTTCTAGAGAGAACCTACTAGCAAGGGAGCATATGCTCTTCTCTGTGGTCTGCTATTTGTATATGTTACAAGACTGGCCATTTCTTGTTCCCACAGAGCTGTATACTGTTTAGGTTTTGAACTGGTGAAGGAATTAAAGATGTTACTTCACATGCTGTTCTGGTGCACCCTGCTAGAATAGGTAGGCACTTAGGAGCAAAGGACTTAGAATGTAAAGCATATGGGTCCCTGTGCATTGATAGTGTGTCTTCAGGGGAAGGGTATTTCAAAGAGCTGTAATAGTTTGAATTTTTTGTTTGTTTGTTTTTGGCTTCGTATGTTTTCCAGTCACTGCATTTGCTTCTGTGTGGTATAACATTCCGTGTGGCAGGTGCCTCGTGCTGACTGCTTTTGTAGCTTTCAGAAATCTGTCCCTGTCCATGCTACTGAGAATCGGCTGTCCTTTGTTACTCTGGTATTTAAAAGGTTTGTTCCATGTGTAATGGGAAGATGTGCCTGTGTTTTGATTATAGACAGCTGATCTACAACTACCCTGAACAGCTCTTTGGAGCTGCTGGCGTCATGGCTATTGAACACGCAGACTTTGCTGGTGTAGAACGTCTGGCTCTTGTTACAGGTATGTGGAGTACCTTGTCCTCTGAAACTTGGAGGGTCACTTTGTTTGTTTGATCTTTAGTAAACGATAATGCTTGATCACCGAGTTTGTACTTTTTACTATTAATCAGATCTGTGAATGTGCAGAGTATTCCAAATAAGCTTTATTTTGGAGTACTTAAATACAAACGTGTGGAGGACCCTATGAAGTTGGCCATAAGTAATTAGAAATTACTTTGTTGATTTACAAACTGCTGTGTAATGGTCAGCATTTTTTCAGAAGCGGTAACTCAGTTTCAATCTTTTGTATGTTCTACTTTGCATGTAAAATAGCTGGTTTGATTCTGAATCCTTTCTGCATAACGATTTAAACATACTTTTTTCTCTCTAGCAATTGTGAATAAAGGGTCATCGTGCTAACTATGGAATATAATTTAGCCAGTTAGTGCCAGTTACTAATTTTCTTTCATATTTTAGAAATATTTTCAGTTAAGTCCTTGCTTGGTAAACTTTTGAAATGTTTGTTTTCTAGGGAAGAGATTAAACTTAGCAATAGAAAGAATAAGAAGATAAATCCACAGGTTAAATAATATCATCTTGTTACGAATAGCTGTTGTTTGATTGTAGTAATAGAAGTCTGAAGAGTCATCCATTCTTAAAAATGTGGGCCTGAGTCATTGACTTGAGATGGACCTCGAATAACATGAACAACCGGGATATTTTTAATAGTGGGTCAGTGTAAATGTGACTCTGGTACCTAATGAAAGTGAAATATCTGGAATGCTACAGATAACTCTCATTGCTGAAGTTAGAGATGGTTAATTGGAACATCATAGAAAATTGATTGTGAAAGTGATCAGGAACATGGAGAATTTGCTTTGCAGGGAGCAAAGAAAAGATACAGACTTGTTTAGCTTAGCAAAACTGAAGTAGCAGTTGTGTGTAGCAGTCTGTAGGCACATTGACACAGGCAAACGCTTGATTGAGAGGAACATTGCTTATGTTCTGGAACAAATTTGAGGCAAAATTTGTAAGCAGAGCGAGTGGACCATATCAGACCACACTGGACCAAATAGCATAGCTGAAAAAGTAGACAAGGTATTTTAATAAAGACAAGCTGTTTTATTCCAAGTAAGCACAAACTCTTTACTACAAATCCTGTCTTTACTTGTACTGCTGCAACTACAGCAATGCTGCAAGCTAATGTGGGATATTTGAGCATGCATTGGGAGTGAATACATGTAAATAGTTTTCTAATGGGAAGAGCAAAGTACTAGGACAATATTCCATTCAGAGACATTTTGGTCTTTGTAACATCTGTTATGTTTGTGATATGCGAGTTTACAAATAGCACACAATATTGCTGCTACGACATGGCACGAGACTCATGATTCAGGAGAGTGGTGGCCAGCAGTTCTCGGACATCATCGGGGGGCAAAACGGATACCGGCACAAGCTCAAGTTTGAAAACATAACAAACTTGATTTAGTATTTTATACCTACTTTGCCAGTTAAAACTTTAAGCAGATTGATATTTTAGTGCTGGCAAATATCCACATTCAGTGTCTTCTCCAGGCAGAACTCAAAAGTGTTACAGCTATTGTAGTTCTTGTGATGTGAAACAAGATACTGGTGTTTTAAGGACTTGAGAACATCAGTAGAAGGTTTCTGATGCCATATGCTGACATTGGAAAAATTTAGCTTATCAGTATTTTTAATTTCAATTTATTTTGGGGCAGTTATGATGAGGATTATTTTTTCATATCCCCCGCCCCCAGTGAGACCCTTCCTGAATGATTGCTTTCATCATGAGCTCTTTGACTTTTGTATGATGTTACGTTTGTAGGAGGTGAAATTGCATCAACTTTTGATCACCCTGAGCTAGTGAAACTAGGAAGCTGCAAGCTTATTGAAGAAGTCATGATTGGAGAAGATAAACTCATTCATTTCTCTGGAGTGGCAATGGGTGAGTGTTCTACCACTAATGGCACGTTGTAACATTTGCGTTAACTGAACAGAGTTAGCAGAGGGTTACCAGGATGGCATAGGAATTTTGTAATGATTCACGTAACCATTTTTATTAAAGCCTTGCTCTTCAGTAGAAGTCCTGCAAAGATGTATGTTTGTGGTTGAAATTATTCATCTAATTGTTGGTCTCTTCTCTTGGGTAACTAGCGACAGGACGAGAGGCAATGGCCTCAAGTTGTGTCTGAGGAGGTTTAGATTAGATATTGGGAAAAATTTCTTTACTGAAAGAGTGGTCAGGCATTGGAACAGGCTGCTCAGGGAGGTGGTTGAGTCCCCATCCCTGGAGGTGTTCAGAAGACGTGTAGATGTGGCACCTTGGGATATGGTTTAGTAGGCATGGTGGTGTTGGGTGAATGGTTGGACTCGATCTTAGAAGTCTTTTCCAACCTGTGATTCTACAATTCTGTGATCTACCTAATATTAAACATACACATAAACATTTGTAAGGATGGGAACAAAAATTTGTGCTTTGAGAGATTAAATTGACAAGAAAGGTAGCAATCTGTTACACATCAAGAACTCAGAGCTTGTTATAGTAAATGCCAATACTGTAAGTTTCCAAGGGGTTGTTTTGAGATAACATTCATTCTCTGTTAAATGAAATAAAGTGGTGTGGAAGAGTTAATTGATAAAAGCAAGAGCATAGTGTACATCATTTCATTCTGCCTGTGAAATGTCATCATGCTTTCTTCTCCAGTGATAGCAAAACCATTACAAAGGCTTTGCGATAGCTCCTTTTTTGTGTCTTTGTTCTGGTTTTTTTTTAATCTTCTCACATTTGCACTTTTTAGGTGAAGCTTGCACCATAGTTTTGCGTGGAGCAACACAACAGATTCTGGATGAAGCAGAGAGGTCTTTGCATGATGCTCTCTGTGTTCTTGCCCAGACCGTGAAGGACACTAGAACTGTGTATGGTGGAGGTGAATATTAGATTCTTTGTACTTTGCATATGATACACATTTTGTATGACTGTTAAACTCAGATGGAAAACATCTGTGTGTCTTCAATGCATAGGTTGTTCGGAGATGCTGATGGCGAATGCTGTTACGGAACTTGCCATCAGAACACCTTTTACGAATGGTGAGTTTGTTTAATCAGATTGCTGAATTAGTAAAGTTTCACTAAGTTTACTAACTTCTAACATCAGATAGTTACTTACTCTTTTCTCTTTCAGTAAAGAAGTATTGGTGTTTTAATAGTTCAGCATGTTAAAGAATTCGGAATGCTGATATGCTAGCCCTCATCTAATTCTTTCTTGCTTCTCTTACCTGCAAGGTTAAAAGTGCCACAGGAATAGCACGTCAAATCTTGGCTGATGCAGGTGACAGCTGATTTAGAAAAGAGCAGCCTGTCTGTTCTGTTGATACTCTAGTGCTGTTTGATTGTATTCATGCTCTAGCACTATCTAGAAGTTTCTAGAGTTGCACTGGAGATTGCTCCTTGGTAGGAAATAAGGATATCACAAGAAACATTTACAGAATATTATGGTGCTAACAGAATGTCAATTCGAGAAGGATTGCCTTCCTGTATTTTAAATTAGGGAAAAGCTTTCTTAGGAAATGAAATACCATAGGAAAAGATTTCTCCCAAGAAAATTAAGTTAAAGAGCATGGTAAGACTTGGCATTACCTCTTCAGTCAGCACGTACAATTTGCACTCCTGTCACTTAAACAGTGAACAGAATGATCTGGTTGTTAATGCTTGCCAGCAAGCATGTGTTCTTAAAATGAAGCCATTTCTCCAGTTATAGTCTGAAATGAGAAGGAGACAGATTTCTTTCAGTCCATGTAAAATGAACCGACAGATCTGCTAAGACGCTTCTGTCCTCTCAGCTGCTTTCTTAATAGGGTCTTAAAATCCTTAGAAAGGTAATTGGACTTTTTTCCTACCTTCTAATCACTGTAACACATCATCTGCCATGTTTTTGAAACTTTCACTTCTTGAAACTGAATAGTAAACTAGTAGTATCAAAGTATGTTTCATGTTTGCTAGGGAGCGATCCCTGCATTAATTAAAGCCAACCTGTGTTTATCCCCTTAGATCCCAACAATAATAGCTGATAACGCTGGCTACGACAGTGCGGATTTGGTTGCTCAGCTCAGAGCTGCTCACAGTGAAGGGAAGACTACTTACGGGCTTGGTAAGGGGCTTGGTGTTGCTTCTGTTGTTGGGTTGCTGTTTGGGAGGGGGATTATTAAACTCGGTCACATCTGTTTGTTGCTGATACATTCAGCTGGAAGAACTGAGTACGTTGATTTCTACTATATTTCATACTATATTTCTACTATATTTCATACATTTCCTTTATCATTCTACCAGGCTTTTCACAATAGAGTGAAAAGCTTTGTTTTTGAAGGGGATGGTTTCCACCTGTGAAAACCACTTTGCTTACTTACATGGAGTCTAGTTATATGAAGCTTAAAAAGAAGGACATTGATTTAAAAGCAAACAAAAAACCAACACAACCAAACACCACATGCCCCCTGGAAAAAAACTTAAAAGTTGTGGAGAGTAATTCTGAAGTTGATATACCTAAGGAAATAGCACTGAGAGTCCTGTTGGCAGCTCATCTCCTCTTCTCAGTGTATAAAGGTCTTATGGTTAGTTTTCTATATGTAATTGCAATGTTAGGCTTAAATCAGGAGCCGTGAAGTGAAAGATGTTATTTAATGACTCCCTTACTATCAATATAGTTCATTTGAGCAGATAAGTTACCATACTGTCAGCTGCCTGTAATTTCCTGGGGGGGCAGGGGGAGGGAGGGAGAGGGAAAGTTAAAAAAATTAACCACCTCTTAATGTATCTCCTTGTCTAGATATGAAAGAGGGTATCATTGGAGACATGGCAGTCTTGGGGGTAACGGAAAGTTTCCAAGTCAAGAGACAAGTTTTGCTGAGTGCAGCTGAAGCAGCAGAAATGATTCTTCGTGTAGATGACATTATTAAAGCAGCACCAAGGTATGATGTGAGAATCTGCACTGGTCAGTTACGGTGGTGTAGAGTAACCTCCTTCTGTGGAAGAGCAACTATGCAGAAAAGTTGTCTTCTAAAAATACTGTATTTGAAAAGACGACTGACGTCTGATGTGCTAATGTTCCTGTTACATGGGGTTTTTTTGCATTACGAGTATGAACGGGCCTTTAGAGCCATCAGTACGCTTAAATTAGTGTGCCTGAGCAATGCCTAGTTAACCTTAGGTCACCAGCTACTCATGTGCCTTGTATAGTGCTAAAACATCTGCAGAAGTGGCTGACCAAAACATAAAGGATCGTGCTGCATTTTTTCCTTTTGGCAAGAATTATAGTTAAATGTCCAGCTGCTCCTGAAGTGGCATCTGCAGCTAAACCGAAACTGTGTTTGTTAAAGTTCGGGAAGAAATGCCACTTGTAGGCAGGTTTTGCCACACGTGCCCACTACAAGGTCGTTTTCACTGTTTTGTGAATTGCATTTTTTTTGCCATGTTCAAAGGTGGGTGTGTTAGCTTGGAGGTGATACTGCCCTTTGTGCTGTGAGACAAAGCTAGCACCGATCAACAGAAAATTAAATATAAAGATGGGTGGGGAGGCTGGTGGACGTCAGCGTGGGAGGGAATTTTCTGATTTTTCTTTTTCTCCCCAGAAAACGTGTACCAGACCATCGCCCATGTTAAATTTTCTTCAGTTCCTGAGGATGTGTGGACCAGATCTCACCTAGTAATTTTTTTTTAAGGATCTAGTTTTTGTGAGGTTATGGAACAGAAGCTTGAGACGAGCAGATCTCCATCAGTGGCGTGAAATAACTGCCTTCAGTTGGTTTTAACTTATTTCAGTTCATGTGTGTTGTGGGGAAGATTCACTTCCGAGTAAAACAAGGGTTTTATATGACCCTATTCCTTCTGTTCCTCTCCAGGTTCCACTTAAAATACACAGAAATAAGAATAAAAAAAAAAATCAATCGAAGTCGCAATTGTCTTTGTGTAGAACCAGGCAGGGCAGTTTCATTAGAAGAGCTGCGGAGCTTGTCCGCAGCCCCGGGCGCTCCAAGCAGTGACGGGGCGGGCCGCGCTCGGGATGCCCCCTCGGGCCTGCGTGGCTTGCTGGTTCGGCTGGGCTTGGCGCGCTCTGTGCGAGCGGTCAGTTCCAGTCCTGGCTGCGAAGGCTTTGCGTCGGGATCCTAGAAAGGGTCGCTGAAGTTAAGTGCTACCCATTTCTAGTGATCCTGGGTGATGGCAGGAGGAGAAAAGCTGAAGGGGAGCCTTAGTCAATGCTCAGAACTATAATTTAAAGAGATTTTGCAGCTTCTTAGACTGCACATTTTCTGCAGATAGGAGTTCTGCTGAGTGGGATTGAGAGGCAGATGCAGAGATGGGGAGAAATAGCGACATCCTGGACCAGACAGTCTGTGTGTTTGGCTGTCGGGTACTGGACTTGGGCTGACCTTACGAATGCTTGCTGGAATAGAGGGCGGTTGGTGGAAAACGTGCTGGGCTGCATCGCCTTCCCTTTCTCCCCCACCCCCCTTCACATCTGTTGTGGCCTACCTTTATGTTCTCTGCCCTATTCCAGCAGCTGCTGCAAAGGCAACGTGTTTCTTAATGGGACAAGTTTGTGCTGGGGTCGCAGGGGAGCCTGTGATGCCTGCGGCAGGTTCTTGGTGACTGTAAGCAGGCAGGCAGAGGTGTCCTGTCGAGAGGCGCCTGCTGGGCACTGTCACCCTTCTGACCCCTGCAAGTGTGACAGCCCCTTGGCAAGCACCGGGGGAGGTCTGCCTGAGCGGGAAGGTTAACTGGAAATCGAGAAAGTGTCTCTGCAAACGTTTTTTCCCCTTGCCTTAGGTTTCCTGAAGTGCAGAGAATCTGCTTACAGAATGCTCCTCCGAGCTCTCGGAATAGCCTCTCGTGTTCTCCAGAGGTGAGAGTGCTGTGCAGAGTGCTGTGTTAAATGCAAACCGTTGACAAACAGGCGGAAGTGCCTTCCCCACCCCCTCAGGTAGATAAAGAACCGGTCAGTTCCACAGAAACCAAGCATTGAACTTGGGTGTTAAAAAAGCCCCAAACTCCTGTCCTGTTGAGTAATTTTGTTTTGTAGGGAAGAAATAGTTTGTTGAACAAGCTTAGATAAAGAATTGGGAAAGGGCGATTTCAGTTAATTCCAAAGAAGTGCACTTTATTTAGTTTAATGACTAGTAAGCACACTACATGGGTGCCAGCCAGATCCAAACTCCGACTTCATTTAACAAGACAGCAAGCGCTAGCAAAGTCAGTGTATTTCCAGATAATTTTTTTAGACGCGTAAACGACATCAAGCAGTCACGAACTGGCATTGAATCAAACCTGTTGTGGGAAGTCAGCAGTGGCTTCTGCAGGCTGTGTGGGTGAGATGGTTCCACTTGACGAATGAGGCAGAGTGGGAAGTCGCTGTTCTGCGCCACCGAGGGCTCCCTGCCCTTTTTAGAAAGCTGTCTTCTGCCAAACTCGGTGATCCGTGCTATGGAATCGAAAGCTGAAAATGTAATTTTGAGCCAGATTCCTGTGTTATACAGTTAAAACAAAGCACGCTGCAACAAAAAGAGCTCAGGGCATTTTGAAGGGGATCTGGAGCAGTCCCGCTTGCAAGCTGGAGAAACACCCAGCTGAAGTCAACTGAGTAAAGTTCACCTCGGCTTCAGATTGTGTGCAAGCCTGTAGCAGCAGGCTCCCAGCCCTGGCTTTTATTCGTGCCACTTTACCTTTGCAGCTCATGTTTTTTCTGTTTCAGTCAGGCTTTGATTTTCTTTGCTACTGTGTGAAAACTCAGCACGTGCAGCTGCCCTTACAGGCAGCATTGCTGGTCACATAAAAACCAGCAGCAAAGCCTCTAGCTTTCCTCGCCATCATTTAAAATGCTGCTTGGCTGCAACAAAACAGGGCTGGTGGCTGGTTTCCCAGGAAGAAGGTGGCAGGGGTAAGCAGAGAGCTCGCTGCTGTGTACGCACCGTGTCCCTGCTAGCGCAGCCAGGGCTCCGCTGCCACTTCCCGTGTGGCAGGTGGGATGACCTTCAAGCTGTTGCTGCCGCTGCTGCGTTCCGGGTAAGTCGCTTGAGACAAACGCTGTGGGTTGCTTCAGAGCTGTTGCTCCCAGCAGCAATCGTTGCCTGAAACAGTGGCTTCCAGCTCAGCTCAGACACCTCGTCAAGGTGGAGGGGAGAGCGAGCCCACGGATTTCCCATGGGTAAAGAGCAGCGAGTCCCTGTGCGCTCTGTACAATCCACCCATGGAGAACATCTAAAGTATGTCTTCATCTCTACTGCAAACTCCTGGGTGGTCCCCACACGGGAGGAAGTCTTTGGCCTAGGGCAAGTCCTGGGTGCTGCGCGAAGTGGGTGTCTGTACAAGAGTGTTTTGCTGTCACCTAGCCCGAAGAGGGTGCATCTACTCCTGAAGACAGTCCAGGCAGCGCGGTGCTCCTGCCCACCAGCAAGCAAGAGAGAAGTAGAGGTTGGGTGGTGGTGTGGGTGCACGGCGCCTTCGCCAGCGCGGGCGGCTGAGCGTCAGCAGGGCTCGGCTTCCAGCTCGGGTTTGGCAGCAGGAGGCGGCGACGGTTTTTCATCAAACGTGATTTCTGTCACCGCCCCGGATCGCTTGCGGGGTTCGGGGGTCTCCTCTTCGTCCGACCATCTCCCCACCCTGCGCACCCCTTTGGCCACCTTGGGCGCGTTTCTGCAGGGGTTGTGGTCGTAGATCACCAGCTTCAAGCCAGGGAGGTGGGCCAGGCTGGGGAAGAACCTGATGGAGTTGCGATCCACGTCGATCACCTCCAGAAAAGGCATGTCCAGGAGCACGGGGGGGAACTCGGACAGCAGGTTGCCCGACAACCAGACGGTGCGCAGCTCCTGCAGGCACCGCAGCTGGGCGGGCAGCGCGCGCAGCGCATTGGAGCCGGCGTGGAGGGTCTTGAGGAGGCTGAGCTCGCACACCACCTCGGGCAGGCACTGCAGGCAGTTGGACTCGATCCAGAGGGTCTTGAGGTTCTGCAGGAGCCGGAGCTCGAGCGGCAGGCTGCAGAGCTGGTTGTTGCCCAGGTAGAGGATGCACAGCTGCTTCAGCGTGCACACAACCAGGGGCAGTGCTTTGAAGTTGTTGAAGTCCAGGGCCAGGATCTGCAGGTTTTGCAGCTGCTCCAGCTCAGGGGGCAGATGGTTGAGGTTGTTGTCGCTCAGGTACAGCTTGACCAGTTCCCTAAAAGAGCAGATGTGCAGAGGCAGCCGCCTCAGCTGCCTGCCACTCAGATCCACCATTTTATCCACTGGCATCTCTTCTAGGTCTTCCAGGAGGTACTTCTGGCACTCGTCAGAGGGCACAAGAGCAACTATGGCTTTCAGGCTGTTGCCCATCCCGGGACTTTGTTTGGGGATCGCTGGGACTGCAAGGGACAGGGAGCTGCCTTGGTCTTCTCCTGCGGTGCACTGACCTGCTGGTAGCTCCATCCTCCCATTATAAGGCTCTGTTTACATGGCACCAGCCGTTAATCTCAAGGGCTCTGAAATGTTTTTGATAACTGAATGAGTGTTTGGTGATGGGGATTACGGTCAGGACGACTTAGAGCGCAAGTCTCCCTCTCTCGCCCACACTCCCACTTGCTAACCTCCCCCCCCCCCCAAACTTCTCGCCTCTTCCTCCACGCTGTAAATGTCCTCCGATTCTGCCCCAAACCATCGCCCCGATGCCCCAGCCCCTCACCTCTCGCTCCAGCTGTGCTGTTCTGCAGCCGGGGCTGGCTGCGGCGATTGGCTCGGGAAAGTAAACACCACAGACAACCAAATTTTTAAACTCAGATGTTCAGCTTTCACGAAACTTTCAGCAGAAATGTCGGATGTACTCGAATTGTTGTTTAAAATACCTGTCAAGGACTTGACTGACTTTCCAGACAAGTGGCACTTTAAGGGATTTACTTTGCAAGGTGCCAAATACATAATTTCAGAGTGTAACTTGCCACCCAGTACTTGTCTTAAACCTTTAACACAAATACTTGGCAAACTGCTATCTTGAGCGGTTCTACTATTTATGTTCCTAATTCAATGGTGTTTACTGTATCCTCTGGCACTCTTGACTGTGTAGGGCCTTTTTCATTACATTATGTTTTCCTTCTTGTCTGAGTCCCCATTTAATACCCTCACTATCAGAACTTGCCAAGGCTGTTCTCCGGCCACCTTCTGACCACGCAGTTCCCGTGTCTGTACCAAAACCTGGCAAGAAACTGCCATGGATTTAATTCCATGAAGCTTCTCACTTGTTATGGCTGAGATAAATACAATGTTGAAAGTTTAAATGTGGCAATGGAAGCTGTTCCCCTCTTCAGCAAGACCCATTGCTATTCAGGTCAGGAGCACCTCTGATGTCTAGGAGGAGCCTTCCCGTGTGTAGGCACCTCTCTGTACTTCAGCTGCGTGAGCTGCTGCTGTTTTAAGCTTTTTTTGGGATTGTCCCACCTGCGAGCTGGCCACGATCTCTGGATTTGAAAGCTGGCAAAGTGTTTTAGGGTGAAATAACCTTTCTGGCAGCTGGGCCTCTACTTTGATATCTACAGCTCGTTGCTGTTGTTTTCCACACTCACCATAACTTAGCGAGGATACTTTCTTCAAACAATCTGCCATTGGTTTCAGGGCATTAGGTGCTACACAACCAAAGTATGTGATTGCCGAGAGCCACGTAGTCTTGGAAAAGGCAGAACAAACAGAAGATTGAGAAAATGGCAATATCAAACAGTTAAGGTGGCCTCTGGATCTCTGGTCAAATCTGGTGATACAGATTTGTATTACCATCAATTGCTTTCAAGTGTAGAGTAGCTCTTTGCTGCCAACTGTGTGTAGGCTACAGGATGTTTGCCCGTCTTTTCCGTGCAAGGGGAGCGTCACTTTCATGCAGCAGTGAAGGTATGAAGGATGTACAGAGGTTTTCCTGGGGGAGGAGAACAACG